AAAATATACTAAAATAATAATTTTTTAAAATAAAATATCTGACTGAATGAATGAAGAATCTGATTTCAGATCAGACTGAGTCAAGCTGAAGATTTAAAAGTTAATTTTTCCTCTGCAGGCCACAAACAGCAGCTCTATTTAGTCACTGTTTAATAAATGATCACCATCCTGCAGAATAACGACTCCAGGTTCAATTGTTTGTAAAATAGTGCCATAATAATAATAATAATAATAACATTTGTGTGTTCATGTTTATTGTTTCTGAAACAGTCCAGGTTTTTCTTTAAAGCAGCTTCATATAATCTCATGTGGCTCTTTCCTCTCTTTGCTTGTCTTCCTGCAGATGCTGATGTTTAGAGGCTGTGGGCGCGAGCCGGAGGTCAGGGTCGTATTGTAGCAGCGCGAGGCGACACGCGGAGTAAAAAGGCTCGCTGTCTCGCGCTTTGTTCCGGACTCAATAGTGTCGGAGCTGAGGCTGAACCCTGAGACCCGCTTTCTGTCTGAAGAGGGACTCAGATTGTTTCAACCTGTTTCTAAATTTAAATTTGGATTTCCTGTTTCTGGTTCTGGTCAGAGCCGATGTAAAATATTAAATCTGAATTTCTAGCTGATTAAGGCTGCAGCTGGGTTTGAATTGACAATAAATTTAGTTCAGTTAGTTTTTTTATTATTATTATTTCTTATGTTCTTCGTGGTCTTGAATCGGTTCCTTCAGGGCAAAAACCAAAATATTTTTGGGGTGTGTTATCTGAGAGAGACATCCCTGACTTCCGGCTCAGGCTTCAGGCTATTCTTTTATTAACTGACTCTTCGATTTCCCCTTCGAGGAGCAAACACTGTTGTCCTCAGTTCGTGTAAACTAATTTTTATTATATTTTATTATTGGCAAATTAATGAATACACTAATGGAATATTTTGTTTTTGTTTTTTTATCTACTTCTGCGGGTGCTGGTTCTGTCTCCAGGCTGAGACTTGGTCCAATTTGACAACAAAGCCATTAACGCTCAGCAGCTAAAACGCGCGCGTGTTCAGGAAATGTCTAATGATGTCATTGTTCCGCCAGAGAATAAGTTGATGATTTGGTGCAAACAAAGCAGAAGTGGAAAATCTTCAGTTAATATTATTTAAATGAAACCTTCCTGCACCTCACAGGTTTAGTGACTTTAGCACATTCTTCACGCGCGGGAAGCGGAGACACTTGTCCCTCTGCAGGGCTGCTGCACCTGCTCCATCCGCTCCGTGCGTCATGCGTAAAAGAGCGCCGTGCGTAACAGGGACGCTCAGGCAGAGGGGAGCCGAGAAGTCTAAAGAAATCCTCATAAATGCATCTCCCTCTTTTAAAGCTGAGTGCATCTTGAACATAATTTCACTTTAGGGTCAATTTTGCTTTTATTTGTAAGCTGTGTAAAGAGAAACCCCGCGCGCGCTGGTTTTACGCATGTCGCTCAGTGCTCCCCACTGACCTCCAAGAGCTGCTGCACCGGGAGGAAATGAATCTGACATGAAAGGGAGAGGGGTGGGGGGGGGAGGAGGTGGTAAAGTTTAGTAAAGTGAAACTTGGTAACAGATGCGAGTGAGGAGGAGGAGGAGGAGGAGGGGGAGGAGAAACAGCTGGGAAGAGTAGAGGATGCGTTCGAGTTCGCGCGTGTTTGCTGTGCGTGCACGCGGATTGCGCTTGTGTGTTGGAGCTCGCGCAGGGGTGGGGGTGGTGGTGGGGGCAGGACATGAGCGCACATTGAGAGAGCGGCTCTTTTTTTTTTTTTTTTTTTACTCGGCGCGATCATTTCACGCTTCCCCCCGAAGCCTTTTTTCCACCTAAAGCGTTTAGTTGCAGCTGACTGAGCACTTGCTGGGAGTGCAAAAGGGAGCGGAAGGGTCGAATTATTTCAACCTACAAGTCGCCCCAAAAACTACTGTAGGACGAAAGGAGGAGAAGGAGGAGGGGGGAAAGGAGGGAGGGGAGAGAGGAGTTCCAGAGAGAGGGGGAGAGAGAGAGAGGAGAAGAAAGGAAAAGACTGGAAAAGTTTTTTTTTCTTTTTTTTCCCATCCCCTTCCCCCCTTTTCTAACTGGGTAACATGGACCAGGGGCCCAAGAGTCCTGCGCTACGGCTGGGGAGAGCAGGTAAGGTGGTCCCGTCTTCTTCTTCTTCTTCTTCTTCTCCTCACTTTATTTGGACTTTGAACGCGCGTCTGTTCAGTCCAGTTTGTTGTGTCTTTCCTGTTCTTATACAACTCTAAATGCGCACAAAGGTTTTGGAGATGAAACTTCGGCTTTTCGTGGTGTTTGGGAGTGGATTTGGTTTTAAAATAACGCTTGGAGAAAAGTTTTTGAAAAAAGGCTGCAGAAGTTTTATAACCTGTTGCTCAAATGGTTTTGGTGTTTTATCTGAAGTTTTGTGGTAATGAATACATTGTTTTACAGATAGATGGGCACAATCTAATTTTTAAAAACGAGTTTTTGGTTTGGAGTTGACTTTAAATAAATTTTGCCACTTTTTTAAACAAAATTTGTAAGTTTGAGCCTGCTGCTCCACGTGGACCTTAGTAAAAAATATAATACAATATATGCTGATTTTGACTGAATGTCTGTGTCAGTGTGTGTTTTGATCGAGCCCATTTTAGTATTTTTTAACCAGTTTTATTGTTTGTGACCTGAAGGTTTCTGATGGTCCAGTTAAAAAGAGCCACTTGATTCAACAGGTTAATCATCTGTAGGCCTACAGTCATAAAAACAGCGGGATCTGGCACAGCAATGAATCAAGCCATCGACCTTGTTATGGCACCCAATGGCTGTCATATCATTTCATATTGCTGCCTGCTGCTTCTGCATTGATAAAATGTCGTTTGTCATTAAGGAGCTGGGAGCAGATCAGCTTCTTTACACTCAGCTTTATTGCAGAGTTTTCCCCCTGCAATAAAGGAAAAAAATGTCTTAATGATCCTCTCATATTTGTTTGGCACATTGTGAAGCAAATGTTTGAGACAGATGTGGAGCAGAGAAGTTTTAAAGGACTACATTTTAGGGATTAACACAGCAGCCTGCAGTGATGACACATTCTACTTCTTTTATAGCTTTTTTTCATTTGACTCTATTTATTGTATTAAAAACTAAACTTCTGATAAAAGCAAAAAAACTGTGATAATTGTTATATTCCTTTTTCTTGCGGTTGGATAATGACCTTTTTAACCGCAGAGGAAATCAGAATTTAAAGGAGGCCCTCCGCTGATGGTCTGAGGAGTCCTGAGGGCCCAGGGGCCTCTACACACCTACAGCCTCTCCATTTTCTCTCACTTTAATACGTGCACGGGGTACAAAAGGCGAATCAGAGAGAGAAGTGTATCCAGTAGGACCCCACCACCACCCTCCCCACCCCGTCCCCCTGTCCTCTCTTCCGCCCTGCAGGGTGGCTGTGCGTAAAAACGCGCAGATTGGTTTATTCCAGATTATGGCTGTTTTTCACCCTCCTTTAAGTCACTGCAGATTAATTAGTGCCAATGAAAACTACCAGGCTGTGGCTAAATGGGTTTCCATTTTTTTTTCAGATTTAGAAGATCTGAACCCTGGATCCTCTTGTTTCTTCTCAACTCTGATCAAACTGACATCCGTGCTGACTATTACTTCGTTCAATGTATATATTCCATTTTACAGTCTTTGTTATATAAGATAGTGAAAAAAGGTGGTGGTGCTGGTCAACTCAGCAAAACCAAAATATGGCGTCCTGCGTCATGCCTGTGAGCATGGCTAACCATGGGTTGGCATGGCGGAGATGAGACAAAAAAAAGTGCAAAGGTTCCAAAAGATGAAGGTGAAAGATGATGATGATGATGATGATGATGAAGTGCTCGATCATATAACCCCGGGTACGTGGAGTACAACTACGGCCCAAACACTCAATGTGACAGGTGACAGCAGGCTCCAAACACGAGCCACATGGTGACAAGTGTGTCCACGTGAGGAGGCCCGTGGCTCGCTTTTCACTTCATGTACAGTATTTTATTTATTAGTTATAACTTTTTTATGTATTTCATAAAATGAAAAAAAAAAAACCTAAGAGGAGATAGGGGAGCATTTCTCATTATGTTTACAGTCAGCGGGCGTGTAATAAACGAGCTGGTGGAGTTAACATGCGCTATTAATTTTTCATTGCTTTTTCGTTTCGTGGCTCCGCTGGAAAAAAAAACACACAAGAGGCAATGCTTTTATGGTGGATGGAGGGAAGAGGAATCAAGGAAAGAGAGAGAGACAGGGGGCAGGGGGGTTATTTTTTAACAAAAACAACCCTGCGTTCAATTTGCACCTGATTATCACAACTCCACATCCTCAGTAATGTCTATAAAAGAAGCATCCAAACCCACTTCCTCCCCGTTTTCCAGCTCTGCAGAGGTAATGAAATATGGTAATGGCTTTGGATTAAAATCGTCCTACCCTGATGGAAGTTTTGCCTCCAAATTTCCAACCCTAAAGCAACAACAATTTGTATACATGATTGATTGTGTTTTGGATTTTTTTTAATTGCAAGCATATTTAATTTGAAACAAGTCACAACAGCAATTTACTTCTGTGCTGAGAGAATCTGCGTAAATAAACAAAAAAAAACGCACTTTGTGGATGTGATATGAAAACAAAACAAGCTTTTAAAGTCCGACAAAAACATTTTTGGTAAATAATTCAAGAAAGTAAAACGTACAATAGGGTTAAAAGTGCAAAAAAAATTAGTCACTTTACTAAAAAAGAAAAAAATCAGTTTCCTTTAAGCCGCTATTTTAGCTGATGTTCACATCTGGCCTCCACGATGCTTCAGTTTTAAAATTACATTCTGATATTCTTGTAAAAATATACAAAATATCTTTAAATCATTAATTACAAACTTTCACTGCTTTTTGAGAAATGCAAACCTGAGTAAAACTAACCAGCTTTTGTTTTTATCTGATTAACAAAAATGAGCATCAAATGAGGATTTAAACTCACATTAAGAGTTTGGAGCAGCATTAATGCAGATATTATTATTTTGTTTTGCATTAGTACGTTTCCAGTGTCAGAACAACCAACGATATGACAATTCCAAACCCATTAAACTCATATTAGTGATGCTTCCATGTCTTCATTTTGAACATGTGCGTCTTTGCGCACGTGCGCGCGCATTAGAGGTGTATTTTTTGTCCAAGTCTGGACGCCCCCTAGTGGTTATGCAACTTCCTTTTTCAAGAAAGCGAAAGTAAAATCAGAACTTTTGCTTTAAACTCTAAGAAAAATGTGTGTTTTTCGAGCGATTTGGAATCAAGGACGAATAAACGAATTTTATTTTGATCATTTTCTCTCTTTATAACACCTGGATGCGCGGCGGGTCTGGACATGGCGCATGCAGCGGTTTTCCCATGAGCCTCTTGACACAATGAAAGTCAGAATGAGCAAAAATTCAAGGCAGGAATAACAAATATTCCTATTAGACATTAAATAAACTCTAGTGAGACACAAATGGAACATTTTTAGTTGCAGACATCCCGAGTATTTTTTGGATTTTTGGATAAATCTGAAAACAAAACAAATAAATAAATAAATTAAGGTGAAGATTATTTCATACCTCTGCAAACTCAAACCGGCTGATAAAATAAGATTCAATGATAATTTCATTCACAAAGCAGGAAACTGCAATTTAACATTAAATGTTACAATATAAACATCAAAGAAGTTGTCTGATTGTCCTTCATGCTGTTTGTAAGTCTTACATCAGGAGATGCTTTTTGTCAAATGAAGTGATTCTTATGGATTGGACTTCCCCCACACCTCCCCGGACGCGCGGACGTTGCAGTTGCATTTCATTAAAAACTATTCGCAATCAATCAGATAATGAGAAAAAAAATGCATGTTTCATGTGTTTTCTCCCGATTTCCCCTCAAGGAAGCTTCATGACACCAAAGAGAGAAAAGAAAAATAGATTATTTGAAACAACCAATGGACCAACGAAGAAAAATATTAAATCATAAAAGCTTTATCTTTTAAAAAAGTCAAATTTTTATCATGTGTCACGTCTCCCCTCCTTTGTTTTATTCCTCCTCTAACAGAAACATGAACCTTTACTTCTGTCCTTCACTATTTTAAGGCCTCGCTGCAGCTAAGCCTCATTTTTGATAATACTCACTTAATTAGTCATTTAATATTGACAGAAATAAATTCAGAGCAAATGGCTTTAAAGGCATTAGCTTCTTATTTTTTTATTTCTATAATTCGTTAATTGAAATAAAAAATATATATACGATCATCTGAGTCTAGCGTTGCGGCTTCCTGATTGGTGGACGGATCGAGCGCGCGGTGCGCCATTCGCTCCTGGGGTTTGGCTTCGGCCAATAAACAGCTTCTAACCCCGCCCGACCATACCTGTGGTTGGTGGTGACGTTATTGCGGGACTCGCCTGCTGATTGGCTGGACTGCGCGTGAGTGACGGGCAGCGTGTGGGGTAGGGTTCCAGGGGGCTGGGAGCGCGGGCGCTGTCCGCACGAGAGCAGGTCCTGAAACGCGCCGTGCGCCACCGGGAAGGCTGTAGGGGCGCAGGCGGCTCGTCGCATGCGAACAAGCCCGTTTTTTTGTGTGCGCGCGTTTATCTCCATCACCTGCTTTTTTGTTTGGGAGTTTTCTGGACTGAGCGTGGAGAAAAGTAGAGCTCTTGAATTTGGACTTGACTGATTTTATTTTTTATTATTATTGATATTTTATTTCGGTGCGAGGAGATTCGTCTCCAAAAGTCCCTCATCAGCCGGGAGTCGGAGTCCTGCTCAGCTCAGTCTGTCCACACAGAGAGACCACAGATCAGAAAACACACTTTCTCACTATTGAACCGCGGCGCAGATTCTGCTATTTCTCCACTTGCTTCCGGTTTTAAATTGTTTTTGATCATTTCTAAGGATCTGACTCTTCAGGATGTGAACCCTTCAGTACTAAAGGGACATCATTCAGTCAAAGCCACATGCAGAGGACGATTTCTAAATCGGAGAAATATGCAGAGGAGAACCTGGAACGCACCGAACGGTGGATCTGTTACAAGTTTTTGATTTTTTAAAATATCTATTCATTTTAAAATTTCTTGAATCAGATTGAGAGGAGGAGCAGTTCAAGGGTCACGGCCA